TCTGTCATGTAATAGTAAGTGTAAGATTTTCTTCGATTGTTATCTCAGTCATTGGGTTCGTTTTTACATGTTCATGTTATCATAATTTTTATTTGTTAAGAACCTAAGTATATCAGACTAATTCAAAGCTATCTTCAGTGGGATGAATATTGACAAAAACATCTACAACAACAACACAAGAATATAATGTGTGTCATCATATACCAAATACATCAACCAATATAAAACAATGTTCTCAACAATTGGAAACATATCTTTATCAACGACATATGGCTCCATTATTTTACCTTAACATAAATCGTGCTCGAAAAAAATCTAAATTAATAGAAACAACTCAACATAGATGAAAGAAAGGAAAATATATTCTTCGTATTACAGATAAGAACAGTATTTTTCACATTGGTCATGTAAACAATTATGAAAATAAAGTAGAAGCATATCGAAAAAAACCTACTGCTCATATTGAATTTGAATCTGATCCATTGTGGGCAGTAGTTTGATGAAGTTGTTCATTTCCGTAATGCACTTCGTTGAAAATGATATATTCTATGTTGGCAACTTGATAAAATGACACCAAAACGAGAAATAGTTGAACTGGCTTATTTACATTTCATTCCTAAACCACATAAAGCAATTCCATATATGTTAATATTTCCTTATACTAAATCAGTTTATTTTACTAGAAAGAAACATTCTTAAGAGCAATTGTCTCATCAATGAGTACACTAACATTTGAAATTGCAAAGTTTTCAGATAAATTAATGCCATCATTATTTGATAAACATGTTCGTTCGAAAACAATTATTAATGGTGTTGACTTCATTCACCATGGAGAAGTATATTCAGCTAACAATTATCTGAAGCCAACAACTTCCTTTTGTACATTTGATATTACAGATTATATACAGTAGTAGCACAAGAAAAAGCTCTTAATATTATTATACAATTTCTATAACATGGTTATCATATTGTAAAAAGCATTCCTCCTGATGCCATTCGAAAATTAGCTCAAATGATGATCACAGAAAATATTTTCATTTATGAAAAGAAATTCTAATAATAACTTATCGGTGGTACTGTGAGGTCAGCATTTACCCTAACTCTGGCTAGTATTTTCATGTGGAAAAGGGAGAAAGAAGGTGTTCGAGGTGTGGGTGGGGGTGGCTGTAGGTATGAATTTTTCGACTTGGTACTGTCTTGAACAATTAGCCATACCCACATACACTCATTGTATATGATTTCTCTCTCATGGGAAATGAAATTATTATTTATTTTGAATTCTACTGTTGTAAAAATTAAATATACGCCAGTGACATAAAAAGTTTATTATACCTCAATAATTCAAATGTTTCATAAATAATTTCTTATTGAATTACGATTTCTTGTGATATAATATTCTTTGGGAATCCATCGGCTGACGTTCTCACAAAACAGAATCAAACCCGTTATTTGTAGAGCAGTCAGCTTTCTATTCACACAATCAAACCGAGGATGTGAATGTGTGTAGGTGATGAGTGTATGTGAATGTCGGTCGCAAGAAGACACTTTGTCACCTGAACCCACTCGGACACTCACACCCCACACCTTTCTTGTACCGAGAAACTCTTCCAAAACAAGAGAACAAAAGTGTTCTGTTTTGAGAAAAGAATTTCCATAATGGAACAGTTTTCTTTTATTTTTGGGAACTATATACATTAACATTATGTTTATACTTTTCTAATATTAATGCCAAACTATTCAATTAATTTTTTAATTCTAACCCAAGAGCACTAAGTTAACTTTTTAATTCGAATCCAGAACCGTAAGCGCTTTCCTAACACCAAAGCTAAGACGAAACTCCTAATAAATGCAACAATAGGTTAGTCTTGGACACAAATATCACACTTTAAGATACAATATCAATTGACGCTTAGTAATATAAGAAAAATTGCTGGCAAATTTAGTTAAAATCAACTATCTTGCTATTGAGCTTATTTAAATCGAGTTTTAAGATAATATTTGATCCAAATCAGATACTTTTTCACGTTTATTTACATGGAAAGAGTATTCATGAAGAATGATCCTTAAATTCAAACATTATTTTTGAAAATCAATCATCTATTTTTGCGTCACGACAGCGACGACAGGAAATCTTCGAGTCTGTATGGTTTTCGACGATGATGCGATCGTATTGCCTAAGAATCAACACCAAAAGCTGAGGCTTTTTAACAGTTTTTATTGCCATCAATGATGGAGTCGAAATTTTTCTGCAAAATTCTGCTGCAGCAGTGGCTCAGTCGATCGATTTTCATATTCATGCTCGCTCAATTTTGCTTGCAATCATCAGTTTTCATTTACACTTAGCGTCATTGGAAGAATGTTTCATTAATATGTGTTTGTTGACAAAAGTAAAATGAATAGAATAAAGTAGTGTTCTGTGGCAACTAAAAAGATTTTTATTTGACATTAGACATTCTCTAGTGCAAAGAACAATACATCAAGAAACAGAATGCCATTTTATAATTGCCATATCGCTCCTTAACTTTCAATATATCAACAAAACAAAAGTGCACCTCGTTCAAGTGACTACGCCTTTTGTATAGTTGCAAGAGAAACAGCAGTTTATGTGACTGGTTGTTTCATGTATTTTGTGGCGAAAGTGAATATTCATTTTCGACACAAATGAAATTAACATTCTTTTTAGTAAAATATTTTTTCAATACGAGCGAGAAAGCATAGACAGTGAAAAGAAATCTTCTCTCAGTCGATTCCAACAAACGACATTGGGTAGTAAGACGAAATGTTTGCAACAGTTTCAAGACATCTTCCCCTGTTGGAAATTCCTAGTCTTAATGAGGTATTGGTTTTTCAAGTTCTCTTTATTGTTTTTGTTATCAAAACAACAATATTTTTGCATTAGACTCCAACTCAATTAAATCAAACGAATAATGCAGCAAGTCCTCGAAATATCCATTTGGATTTAGAATCAATTCCTGACACTTCAACAATTGGGTATGTATCTTCTTGATTCTACTTCTTCCATCTTATTTAAAGAACTCCTTTGTATCAGAGCAAAACAGACAGAAACGTTATCAGTATTTACCAAAGCTTTCCTTATCGCAGGAACGTTGGTAATTGTGATGGTAGCAATTATTGTTCCAGTTGTTTATTATAGTCTTAACGGTCAGTATTGTTTTTTGCTTATTTCACAATTTTTTGATAGTGATTAATATAGCAAGTTCCTTACGTATTGATACAATAGAGATCTAAATAATGACTATATTTAATGAATGAAAAACAAACAAAACAAATTTTATCATCTTCACTCTTGAAAGATAAAACATGGTTCATTAGCATCTTTTACAAACATCAGACACTATCTATCCATTTGAAAAACAGCAGTCATTATTTTTTGTTTATCTTCATTGAAAAAAGACTCAAGACGAATGAACATTCTTCTAGTCAATGTGAATTCAGCAGTGTTAACATCTATTCGTCTAGATAATTCTAGTGAATACAAATATAGTTATGAAACTTGTTGTCACTTTATAAAGTATAGGTAGAAAATACTAGATATCTATAGTAGTCAAAGACACCGTGCCACGTGAAAGACTTATGATGGAAGACGGTCGAAACCGTTGATTTTCGAGCTAGTTCCAGCTCAGTTCTCACTAATCCCTGTGTCTGGAAGTGTTCTTCCAATATGGTGGCCATTTCCAACATGGTTCTCGACTACGATTCTGGTGTTTTCATCGGAATGAAGAGATGTCACATATCTAGAAAATCAAGGACGCTGGACAAGTATAGAAAGATGCGGAAGATGCCAAACTACATATTAACAGATGATTACATTATGGGTGCAGATTTACGTGTGTGTTTTCATGCATGTTTGTGTGTATTTCCTTGTCGTCACCGAGGAGGTATGTTTAGAGACACGACATCCCCTGTGGAGATACCGCATTTCTTCAGAAGACGCAGCATCTCTATACGAAATGCATGAATATTATGCATATACCTTTTATAATGGAATCATCTGTTAATAAGTACTTGGGCATCTCCAAGATTCCCGATTTTCGGAATATGTGACATTGCTGTCAGCATGAGAGGATACAGCCTGGAGCTGTTTCTATTCAATTGGATGGTATCGATAACTTCCAAGAGATCAATAGGTGATTCTTATGGACATGGATTTAAGTGATCAGTAAAATAGATGATATGATCAGTAGGATAAAATATTATAAAATTAGTTATTAAATAAATGACTTCTTCAATAAATTTTAAGAGCAGTAATTAAAATAGATTAACAGTCAATTAAATCAAAGAGTAAGTATAGAAATCGAAATATTGTTATAGTGTGATTAACTTGTACTTTGTCTCCTTTCGTTTTTTTCCCTCTACTTTTACATACAGCTGGGTGTGAGTGTGGGTGTGGGTATTGTAAGAGAAAAGACCCACACCCATATCCATAACTCACACCGCACACCCACTCACACCCAATAGTTGCTTTTTTCATTAGGTGTTTAGAGTTGTGCATCTCGAAATGATCTATATGTATTTGGTTCCATTTGAGTTCACGAAGTATAATAGTAATGGTAATGTAGTTATAGTTCAGAAAATTGTAAAATGACCACTTCTGACAACAGATTGTTTGTCAGTGTCATTCAATAATGAGGTCATAGATTCAAAGAGAAGTTATAGATTTATTGTGCCATTTTCTCATCCAACCGCAACAAAATCGGACGGATATGGGTGTCCATGTGGAAGTGGTTGCGAGTATGTACGTGAGTGTAGGCGCGGGTGTGACTGAGGACGATGCAAGAAAACAAAGTCCTACTCTCATTCATCCACACCCACATCCTCAACAGCTACATTTTATATGCAATGCTTTACGTGTTGTAGGAAGAGAAATAAACACCACAACAATCACGACTACAATGATCACATCAACTTCAACAACAGATACTACGACTACCACGGAGACGACAACTAGTGCTACTACGCAGACGACAACTAGCACTACATCAGAAACGACAACTACCACAACCACGGAAACGACAACTACGGCTACTACTAGTACAACAACCACGGCAACGACAACTACTACAACCACGGAAACGACAACTACGACAACCACGGAAACGACAACTACCACAACCACGGAAACGACAACTACGACAACCACGGAAACGACAACTACCACAACCACGGAAACGACAACTACAACAACCACAGAAACAACAACGACAGCGACAACGTCGACCAGCACGACAGCTACCACTTCGACTACCACGACAGCTACAACTTCGACTACCACGACAGCTACCACTTCGACTACCACGACAGCTACAACTTCGACTAGTACCACAAGCAAGACTACAACTAGCACGACAGCTACAACTTCGACTAGCACAACAAGTAGAACGAGCACGAGTTCTACAACAACTACAAGTAAGTATTTTTCTAAAATATTTGACTGTGTAATGCAAAATCTAATTAAAAAGCACATAACTTTTAGCATCAGCCGCATGTCTTACCGGATACGTTCGAACATCATCTGGCATATGTGTCAATCTTCTGATCGATTTCAATAACTGTGGTTCCATTGGTCATGTGTGTGCCTCAACATATACAAGTTGTTCAAATGGCGCTTGTAGTGGTGCACCTGCTGTACAGCTTACAGGTGCTGTCACTATATCTGGTTGGGGTGGCACAGTTAACGTTGATGATGCATATGTAACTCTTAGTCTACCCTTCAGCATATCGCTGTACAGTTATTCTACATCGACTGCATCTGTTCAGAGCAATGGAGTAAGTGCTCTTATGATTGAGATTTTCAAGGCATTTTCATTTACAGGTATACAATAATTAAGTATAAATGAAACTAGAATTAAATATGAATAAATTATCAATTGATTCATAGTGTAATTTCTATTTGAAAAATAAGAATGCTATCTGAAAAACCTGCTTAAAATTTTTTTTCTAGGATATTTCATATTGATAAGAAGCAGTATGTTACAGAGATGTCCATCGCGGCTGAAAATCTGCCGCTGCCGCGCCGCGGCCTTAGAAAAAAATAGCTGCCGCACCGCAGCCGCGCCGCGACGGTCTATAAAAAAATGTTGCCGCGCCGCGATGGCTTATAAAAAAAACGTTGCCGCGCCGCTGCCGCGATGAATTATCAAATAAACGTGCCGCCGCCGCGCCGCTGCCGCGTCGGTTTACAAAAAAGTGTTTCTAATTTCACTGCTGCGACTATATTTGACCAGAGATATTGGTACTAGCCCATCAGATTCATTCAGTCTCGGGGTGTTTCATTTGTAAACCGTGAAATTCTATTAAATTCATGCAGTTTTTCAATGTTCCCCAAAAAAATCCTGCCGCTGCCGCGATGGTCTTTTAAAAAATCTGCCGCTACCGCGCCGCTGCCGCGATGATTTTTAAAAAATCTACCGCTACCGCGCCGCTGCCGCGGTGATTTTTTAAAAAACCTGCCGCTGCCGCTGCCGCCACAGGCCATCGCGGCAGCGGCAGCGGCGCGATGGACATCTCTGGTATGTTATATACAAGATTGAATATTAAGTTACTATTTTTATTTGTAAGACTTACAGATAAAGCTTTACATCTACATTCTAATTATTATTAATAGAGTATTTTTATTAGATTCCGAACTATTGGTCTTGCATTTATTAGTGGTATTTGCAGTACCGTAATAATTAGGCTCAGATAGATAATAATTGAAAATGATTATCTTTTGGTACTTGAATTGACGAGGAGTATAATAGACGTTTGTGAATTATTCATTTGCTGTCCTTGAAAAAGAGACATGGAAAATTTGAATTCATGAATATTATTAGAATTCTTATAGTCGACTAGATTGCGCATTTAGATTTCAATCCAACTTTTCTAGCAGACAAGAGTTTCTGAAAACGTGTCTAAACGCCTTAATCACGGTTCCCCATATAAAGATTTTCACCAACATTCAAAGAACATCAAAGCAACTTACTTTCATCATAAAACGTGTGTGAGCACCCTTAAAAAGTCAACTTTTGAAGTTGGAAACTATATCAAAAGCTTTTGTATAATATTTTGCCGTGTTTTGTATATAAAAATTACTGTTTTAATGGGCGACGTATGTCAAAAAAATTGTGAGAGAAAGTTTTGAACGTTTTTCAGATGCAAGATTACCTTGTTACGAGTTTTCAGGGTGTCGATGTGGATGTAAATAAGTAATAGATCTACACCGACATTCACAATCACACTCACTCGCATCCAGATCCTTTCTTCCATCATAGTAATTCTGCTTGGGGATAATTTATCAGGTGTCTGGTAGAGACCAAGTACATTGTAACTTATAATTTGATACATTGAATATTCCGTTTCTTCTCGATTCGATAACTACTATCAGGTCTATGCTACGTGTAGACAGAAAATTTCTTTATAGATCATGTTTGACATGTTTAAATACATTTAAATTTAATGATGAATATGCATCAATTTATTCTGAAGGCAATATAATAATTTTTGTATCAGTTGCTTGTTCTCATTTACAGATAAATAACAGTGCATATCATAGAACATCATTTCGAAAACAAACATACTGTATAAAAAGTTAGAGCATTTATCAGATATAAAACGAGCAAATCTCTCCCTTCTCTTCAATTGTTCGCGATTTAATAACCGATGATAAATTAACTTATGCAGCTCCTTTTTTTTTCTATAAAATGACATAGAACTTAACTTTCATTCATATTATCTTGAGCGAAAGAAATTTCTTTTAAAAACTACAAAACAGCAGCAGAGATATATTTACATACTCATAAAACTTGCATTACCACTGGTCAGTTGCCTTTATCTGTCAGCGACATTAACCGTTATGAAGCATCTGATAATACATCAGTTGCTAGCTACAAAGCCAATAATCACAGAAAAGATATTCAACATGATGTATCCTAATAATTAATAACAGTAACTGCCTAGGATAGATTGAACCATTACCCATGAACTACAGGTATCATAATAGACAAATCGATCTGATGTGTACTGTATTTTTTTCTGATTATATTCAAATGGTTAAAGAACTGGAATCAATTAATTGATATAAAATTTCAACAAAAAAACAACTATTTTAACTGATGACATGCGTTTCCTTTAACTCATCGAGTAAATAATATAAAAAGAAAATCTACAAAGAAAAAACTATTCTCATATATCTGTTTTTTTTCGGCTCACTTAAATATTATCAGTTTGATAGTACATGCTGGGGTACAAGTCAGGGTAGCTTTCTCTCTAACTAGCATAGCTACAATGAATAGAAATTATAACTAATTTTTATAGTAGATGATCATTTTCGTGTAACAGAATTTGAAAGAAGTGATGAAGTAGAGATATAAACACGTGACCCAATCTCTTTCCTTCAACAGATCGTGAGATGTGCTAGTTAAAGACTATCATAGACTGTGACAGATTATATTCATATACTATCACAGATCATATACCCATAACGTCTGGTTATTTTATTTGAACTCCTTTCGTCTTGCATTTTCTGGAGAATTAAGTAACAGAATGGTGAAGAAATGTGTTCCAAAACAGATAGCATAAAACAATATCTCTGTGATTAGCAACACCAGCAACATTGTTGTTTGCGTCTTAATTCTGCAAAGGTTGCGCTAACACCTCGTTCGTCGCAAGCGACATGGTCACATAACGATAACTTAGTTTATTTAGTTTTGATAATCATTTTTTTTTATCAAACCTAATTCAAAAACTGTTCATTTTCGATGTACTATGAGACCTTGATACAGCAAAGTAATCTCGTTTTCGTGAAATTCATTCATACATATTTCAGAATGATATCATTTTATTGCAATTATTCAATCGTGCTATTATCGGGCATCGTTATGTCATTTTTATGCCTCTATGTGGATCACATATGGATATTTACATAGCAATCATGTACTAATGAGATAATGAAGTAATTGTTATAGAGTGGCTCTGATCAAAATTAATGATTTTGTTTTCAAGATAAGTTTCGATGATGTTATTATGAAGAAAGATGTTTTTTTTATAGATAGTGGAATTTTTCGTTAAAACTGATATCATGCATGTGTTTGCAGAGGACATTTAAACTTTCACCCTCTAGTAGTCAACATGAATAGAATGGCAGAACTGGCTAGAAAAAGCTTGCATCTTCTTCTAATCAAGCTTGTGGAAATAACTATTGGATAAATTTTAAAATGTTTTAAAACTACGTTTTTTTAACTTTTAATTTTTAACGATTGTCATTATTTCTCGTCACGCCATCTTTCTTCGAAAAAGACAGAATAAGAAATGTGAAAAACTGCCGTAAAAATACCGTATAGACCAATAAATAATGTTGATTATGAAAGTCTACACTTCAAACTACTAATCAGTGGTCTTATTCTAAAATAAAGTGTTTTTCATGACGACTAACTATTTTAACAGGTTGCAAGTCTTAAGAAGAATATTATAGAAAATCTGCCTGTTTTTAAAAAATGTCTTTGATTATATTTGCAAGCATTTTTTTAATAGTCTCTAGTGCAACTATCTGATATGAAAGTATAAATAGTTTATCAAAATAGTTTATGAAATTGATATACAGTGTAGTGAGAGTTACAGAGCATAGAAAAACCAATTGATTCATTCTCATATACTGTCTTTAATCAGAGATGACATATTTTCTAGTGTATCTGTCTGGCTGGTTGTTCTTCTGCATACACAAACTCAGCTTTACCAAGTAGTAGCTTTAGTGGAGCAACAGCGTTTGGCTATTGGGATGATCTTTATATATACGCAGGCACATCTCAAAGCGTCTACTATGGTACAACAGGCACATATCCTAATCGAAACTTAGTCTTCGAATTTTACATGGCTCATTACGCCGCACCGACCCAATATTATCATTTTCAAATAGTATTCTTCGAGTCATCGCCTAATATCGTTCAATATTTATATTACCAAGCATCAGATGGAGGTTCTTCGGCCACAATTGGTGTTCAAAGTAATCATGTTTTCACCTGGTCGTTATGTATTTTTGATTGATTTCTTTTTCTTTCCAATGAAGGTTCAGGAAGTGGTTCCAGAATACAATATTCTTACAATTCGGTTAGTATACCATATGGTACTTCAGCAACAAGCAGTCCAACATTAACACTGACATTCAATACAAACAGTGGCACATACACAAGTTCTGGATAAATAGAACTAAAAAACAAAAGTTACATTCTTATTGATATTTTTTCTTTGATGACCTTTTGTACTTGCACGTCGTATCCGTATCACTTAATATTCGTTATTGTTCTTTTTCACAATTCTTGCACCTTTTGATCACATTCTATTGGCTCATAATCAGAAATTCTCATACGCTTTTACTTTGTTCTTCTTCTCATACTTAAATAAAGGCCAACGAGACAATAGTGTTTACATTTGTAAGCTGCAACAATTCAAATTTTTGATAGCTTATGTGCTATTTGTTTCTGTTTAATAGCCTGAAATTCATTTTGGGCTTAATTCCATAGTTCCTAGGAAAATTGTAAA